GCCCAAACTTTTGCACCATGCCATAATAATGTTTTTATTTTTTATTTTTGTTCAATTTATGGCATAAGAAGTAACTATGCATCACTGTTTGCTGAAAATATTGTGCATTTTTCCATTTCCAAGAGAAACTGTGTTAACATCTGTTCAAATAAAAAAGAAGACAGGGGTACCTAAGAATAAATATATATATATATATATATGGTCAGTTCAACTGATGAAGCCTCTTGGATGAGAGGTGAAACGTCTTCGACCTAAAAACCTAGTCCAGTTGATTTTTCAAAGTTTTTTTCAGCATACTCTATTTTCTAAATGAATTGATCTAGGTTTGTTGTTAAAGCTTTGCATTGACCAAGGTAGAACTACATTTGAGAATCCCCCCACCCCACCCCCATCCCACAGCAAAGGTGAGTGTCATCTTTAACAGTAGCCAACTGTTTGCTTTTCCAGGTTAGCAGAAGAGATGAACATGCCTTCTCTCCCAGAGATGCTGTTCGGGGACAATGTCCTGCGCATCCAACACACAGATGGCTATGCTATTGAATTTAATGCCATTGATGCCCTCAAGAGAGTCAGCAACATGGAGGATGCTGTCAAGGTGGCTTGTGCTCAGGAATGGCAGGACAGTAGGCAAGTTGATCCTTATTACCAAAAGCTCCAGCTAAATAATTGCTTTAAAGTTTCTGTAAAGTGGTAATAAAGTAGCCACCAACATGCAATACATCAGTGATTAACATTTCTGCATACACAGTATATACTGATTATTTTTCACTTAGAAAACTAGACAGCACTCAGAGGTCAACATCCACCAAGAGTAACTGTGAGGTTGCTGGTCTGGCGCTCTCTCTCACCCTCTCTCTGGGCTTGTTGAGCATGGTATGGGCAGAGGCTGGTAAGGGGTGGCACAGCTGTGGCCAATAATGTAATAAGATAACCTTATTTGAAATGGGTTTGGCTAAAAGAAACTTTTGGTTTCGTCTATACTACCAGGTACTTATACTATATTGACTAGGTTAAATAGAATTGCATTACAAAAAAAGAGACTAAAATACAATTTTCATTGGCTAAAACTAGACTAAATGTCATCAGTTTTCGTCGACTAAAACTAGATGAAAATAGTCGTGGATAATTCTGACTAAAATATGACAAATGCTCAGACTTTTAGTTGACTGAAATTTGACTAGACTAAAAAGAGTATGAACGTGACTAAAACTAATAAAAACTAAAATGACACACAAAGACTAGACTAAAACTAAAATTAAAACAGGCCACCAAAAACAACTGCACCCTGCTGTTTGCACAAACTCAATACATTCCCCATTTTGTTATAGCTGTTTTACCATCTGTTATGTTGTATGTAAATCTGCTGCTGACTGTTTTTTTTTTTTTTTTTTTTGGCTGGGGTTTTTTCTGCTTTTGGTTCTTTTCAAATACTGTCCATGTATACCTCATATGCTATTTGCACCTCATTGCCAATGCCCTGGTGATGCTGAACCATCTGACAATCTCCTATTATTGTTTGCACTACTGTCACTGACTGTACACGGTTTTGAGTCACAGCTTATTGGCTGTACCTTTTTAGATTTATCCTAATTACGTCAATCCAGTTCTTTATTCTATTCTATTCTATTTTTATTCTGCTTTATGCTATTTTAGTTCCTAAACGTTATTGCACCCAATAAGGTGAGAGAGAAACTGTATTTTGATTTTCTGTATGTCCTGCACATATGATGAATTGAATAAAATCCTCTTGTTTGCTCTCATATACATTTGCTGGTCCCTACTATAATACTTAACCCACCTGTTATGTTCATTTCTCAGGAACCGCAGTGATGTTCCTGGGTTTATTTTACCATTACTAACCATTTCAGTCACTATTTAGTGCAGTGGTGTTTTTTACCTCTCACATTATGGTTCAATGAGGATAATGCACTCGAAGAGCCCTGCCTGCTAAGATACACATTCTTGAAAACAAAACACAACGAGCACTTTACTGAGCTGACACAAGAAGGGCTGCTACATCAGCTTCATCCTGTAGTTCATGTCTGAAAGATATTATCTCCATATGAACATTTACAATTCATATTAAAGATGTTTAGAGTTTTGTGCCGTCACTGCTACAGCTTGCTGAGGCACTTGTCTTTTTAAAACACAGTAAGTGTAGTGACCAGTTAAGAACTAAATTAAACTGAACATCCATTCATTTTCTATACCACTTAGTCCCAAACAGGGTCACGGGGGGTGGGAGCCAATCCCAGCCAGCTGCGGGCAAGAGGCGGGGTAACTATTTGTTTTTTAGCTTTACAACATAACAGGAGGGTTAAGTGACTTAAATCATTAAAATTAATACTGGAAGAAAAGTGCAGAATACAATACCAGGATGTCATTGGCTCTTTTGAATCAAAAGACAGCATGAAGCGAACAGAGTAGCCACATAAGCAGGCAAAGACAAGTATGCAGTTCTTGAACTGCGGGCTGGTTACACTGTCAAAAAACTAACAAAATGAAGAAAACTCCCTTTTGAAAATAGTTGAAAAACTGTAAAAAAAAAAATATATAAAACAGTTTGTTCTCAGAGCCATAAAGTATGTTGCCTGTGCTGTCAATATGAATCTAAATTGTGATCTTCTCCCAGAGCTGATTCTGAACACTCCAAAGAGGTGGTGAGGCCTTACAACTGGACATACACCACAGACTACAGAGGCACTCTGATTGGAGAAGGTGTGGAGATAAAGGTGGGTCATTTTCAGTAACTGAACACAGATCATCTATACCTTTTATGTTTATTGTGAATAGTCTCAGAAATATTGAGTGATTTGTCTTTGGGCATGTCATTTTTCTGTGCTGTTTATCTGAAGGTGACTGAGACAGCAGAACGTATCAACATGGAGAAGCTGAAGGCTCGGGAACAGATCATGTTCTTTGATGAGGTGCTGCTGTTCGAGGATGAGCTGCATGACCACGGAGTCTCAATGATCAGTGTAAAAATTGTGAGTTCTGTCTTCATATGAAACTGCTGATGCTAATTGTCTAAATGATTTAATTATCTAATGACCAGATTTTTCTGACATTTAAAATGAAGACAAATTTGAACTAAGCTTTTAATTGATATTTTGAACACTGCATATTATCAGTGCCTCTTTTTTGCGGCAGCACCTCTGATTTTGACTAACTTATTTACAGGTGTTTTACTGAGAGACCTTTTGCAGGAACCAAACCCAGTTACATGTAGTTCATTCACACCTTGAAACTGGCTGTAATGCCTCCTGGAGTGAGGGAGAGCTCAGCAGGCAAAGTGGTGATATTTGTCTAATGTCAGCATACTCAGAAAAAAATAATGTAGTGATCCTGACGGATTTCAATATTTGTTTTGCGTTTATGTACACAGTACAAGTGCACAGTACTAGAATATACTGTGTTCAGTGTTTCCCAGAGATTCAATTTGTGGCGGTAGGGGTGTGTGTGTGTCTCTCGCATTCACACTTAAACTGTGGGCTACTCTTAAAATGATTTGCCAATTAATCCTCCACAGTCCAATCACAAAATGAAAACAACAGCCTTACTAAAATAGCTTCAATTCAACAAAATCACATATTGTATTGCAGCAACTGTCTAAAATAACAATCAGGCATTGTCCAAACAAACTCTACTCCATAACTATGTGTGGTCATTTATTGAAGAAGCAAAGAATCATTGTACAAGTCAGTCATAATGTGGAACATGGGCAGACTGGAGAAAAATCCCCACTACTTAGCGGTCAATAGAAAAGAGGGCTCCCATCTCTTCCCCCTCTCACACCAAACTACCAAACAACCAGTGCAGAGGTGATATTAATTCATCTGTCCTCTACTGCAATGCCCCAGTGACACACACATACACACACAGTCCAACATAAGTGGCTGTGTGACAAGCATAAAACCCAAATACCTTCTTGGCTCCTACACAGTATAAGGTCTATTTGTGCAATTTTATTCAAATCAGATCATTTTTGAACAAAACAAACTCAGTCACCACCAAACCAAATAATCACTGCATGTGCAGTGCTGCTTTTCAAATCACTGTCTCCACATCAAGCGTATTCCATATACCTGCCATGTGTAAGGTAAGGCAGTATGATTATTTGGTTTCCTCAGTGTTCATGGTGCTCTCAAATACTTTCTTCTGTGATTGCAGTTCCTCTAGCTTCCTATCAACAATCTCCCGTGTCTTGATCACCAGACTTGTTTATATGGTCTCATTCAGTCATTAGCTAGCACACAACTGTGGCAGTGGAGCTTCATCAGGACCGGTCCATGAAAACCCAAACTCTGTCTCCTCATTGAAGTACTACAAATCGATCCATTTTGCCCCCCACACAGGTTTGATATTTACAGTTATTTTTTGTTTTTGTTTTTGTTTTTTTCCCCCTCACATTGCGACTCCCCTGAAATCCTCTGGTGCCCCCCGAGGGAGGCATGTCTCACACTTTGAAGACCACTGATATAAAGGCACTATAATGTTAGTCAATAATGCATCTGTGCTTATTGTCCTGTCTACAAGGCACAGAACAAGAGAAATGAAAGCCCCATGTTTGACGTCTATGTTTGTGTGTTGACCTGCTGCATCTGAGAAAGTATAGGAATGCAGTATCTGTCAAAGTAGATGTGAAGTGATGGATGATTTATGGTCTTCCCTAAGACCCTCCCTAAGTCCTACCTCTTTCACACCTCGCTTACCCCTATAATACACAAGGTTGCAGTACCCTTCTGCTGCCTTTAGCTATCAAGCTCCTCTCCTGTGGAACCAGCTCCCATTCTCAGTTCAGGAGGCAGATGCCCTCTCTAGCTTTAAGACTAAACTTAAGACTTTCTGTTTTGATAAAGCTTATAGTTAGGGCTGGATAAGGTGACCCCGAGCCTTCCCTTATTTATGCTGCTGTAGGTCTAGGCTGCTGGGGGGGGGCATGATGCTGTGAGCTCCTCTCCTCTCCATCCATCTATATGCCACCATTACACATCACTAACTTTGTGTCTCCTCTCTCCCATAGTGTGTCCTCTTTCTCTCTCTCTCTCCCTGTACCTTTCTGCAGGTAGCCCTGGCTCTGGAGCTCTATGTCTCTGATGAGCAGTCACCGGCCACATCAACCTGACCAGTGTTTAATTGTTTGTTGTGTCCTGTTGCTTTTCTTCTTTTCTCTCTCCTCTATCCACTCACCCCAACCGGTTGAGGCAGAAGGCAGCCCACCAAGACCCGGGGTCTGTCGGAGGTTTCTTCCGTTAAAGGGAGTTTTTCCTCCCCACTGACACAAAGCGATTACTTAAGGGGGATTTGTTGGGTTTTCCTCTATAATAATAATAATAATAACAATAATAATGTCCGACCTTGTATAGTGTCCTGAGATGACCCTTGTTGTGATTCGGCGCTATACAAATAAAATAGAATGGAACTGAAATTGAACATGCAGCACTTGTGTCAAGTAGCCTATACCAGGAGTACCAATGACCTTGCGAGTAGAAGTGTTATTAAGACGACATACTGTTGATCCAATGAAAAGAGTACGGTTAGCTGCAAGAGTAGTCAGCTTGAGTCAAGCAACAGTGTTAATGTTAGTGCCTAACATGTTCACAGTGTAGAACATGCAGAGCTTGCGTTGAGTATACCAGGAGTAACACAAGCCTCGCTAGTTGCAACATTGCTAAGATGACACATTGTTAAACCGATGGAACCAGCACAGTTTGCTGTGAGGGCAGTCATCTTGAGGCAAGTAACAGTGCTAGTTTTGTTAGAAGCTACTTTCAGAGCACATCAGCTGATAATTCCACATGGTTGGGTTGACGTCTGACTGAAGCTATAAACTGTTTCATTTGCAAGGGTGTGCTTGTGTTGTTGAAAATGTGGGATTTGGATAAATGACAGTGACTCTGAAGCTGAGGCCCACAATAACAAGTCAGCAGGATTTAAGTGAACAATGCATTCCAGCTCTGTATGATAGTTTGTTAGAAAGAGTAGAGATCATGTTTTATTCATTTGGCTTTTTGCTTCAAATACAAAACTACTTTGAGGAAACGCTAAATGGTTTTAATTTTATACCCTAAACAGACACTTGAAAGTCTGTGCAGATTCTCAGTCATCCAGGTCATAGTAAACTGAAAAAACTTTGAAAAAAATCAACTGGACTAGATTTCTAGGTAAGTGGACTAAGCTGAAAAAACTTAGAAAAAATCAACTGTACTAGATTTCTAGGTCGAAGACGTTTCACCTCTCATCCAAGAGGCTTCATCAGTTCTGACTGACTGGTGTTGAGCTGGAGATATTTTTCCCCCTCAGTGGTGTTTCAGTCCTTTGATGGCCAACAATGTCCCTTACCGACTGAGTCGTTATAGTCCGGTATCGGTGAGAGTCGTTACCTGTCTTTGAATCCTCCCCTGTCGACTGTCACCTATTGTCCTGGCGGGCATATTTGGGCAGAGAAATGGATTGTAGATGGAAGACAAGTTGTGTGTTAGTCCACCACCCCTATTTAGTGAGGGGTGTTCTATTTTTACAAAAATAGCTTCCTTAACTCCTCTCTCAAACCAGCGATGTTCTCTGGAGAGGATCTGGACTTCACTGTCCTCAAAAGAATGTCCTTTGTCCTTCAGGTGGAGGTGGACTGCTGACTCTGGTCCACTGGAGTTGGCCCTCCTGTGTTGGGCCATGCGTTTGTGAAGCGGCTGCTTAGTTTCACCAATGTACAAGTCGTTACACTCCTGACTACACTTAATTGCATACACCACATCACTCTGTTTATGTCTGGGTGTTTTGTCCTTTGGGTGGACCAGTCTCTGCCGCAGGGTGTTCCCTGGTTTAAAGTTAACTGGGATATTGTGGTTGCAAAATATCCTTTTTAACTTCTCTGATAAACCAGCCACATAAGGGATGACAGTGTTATCCCCTCTTGTTTCTGGTTTCTCCCTGTTGGTGTTGGGCCTCTTCCTTGCTTTGGTGAAGGCCCACTTAGGGTATCCACAAGCCCTAAGGGAGTTCTGGATGTGTAATTTCTCCTTCTTGGCCCCTTCTGCAGTTGTGGGCACTTCCTCTGCCCTGTGATTTAAAGTTCTGATGACTCCCAGTTTGTGTTGAAGTGGATGGTGTGAGTCAAAAAGCAGGTATTGGGCCATGTGTGTAAGTTTCCAATTTCTGACTTCTACCTTCAGGCTTCTGTCCCCTCCCAAGTGGACTGCACAATCCAGAAAGGCCAGACAGTCATCTCTGGCGTCCTCATGAGTGAATTTGATGTTGTCATCCACAGAATTGATATGCTTGGTGAAAGCGTCTACCTCCTGGGTGCTGATTTTAACCCATGTGTCATCCACATAGCGAAACCAGTGACTGGGAGTGGTACCAGTGAAGGAAGCCAGGGCTTTCTCTTCAATTTCTTCCATCTACAGGTTGGCAGTGTGAGGCGTGTTCTTTTATTTTGGAAAAAGAAGGCTAATAAAAGGTCTTGTGGGTGGCAGGAGGTTCGGAGTGCAGGCTGGCCCCGCTGGAAATCTCCAGTCCTGAGCCGATGCTGATCCAATTTGTTTCTCTCTCCTCTCCTTTTCAAAATCACGTCGGGGTCACCAAACTTGTGAGGCGTGTTTTTTTATTTTGAAAAGAGAAGGCTAATAAAAGGATATTTCACACTGTGAAATTTATTATGCATTAATGTATCGAAATTAGCATGTGCACATGGATCTTCACTGTTTTGGGAAAACAGAAAAGACTGTCCTCAACTTATCAGTATACAATATTTGTATGAAAAGGTGCTACTATCTAATTGGTCAAAAACTGTTGGGGAGAAGCCGTGGTTTAGACTTAACTCTCCCGTTATTGGTCCTTCAGTCCGTCCGTCCTCCAACGTCCTTTCTGCTCCAATCGTCGAGGACAGCGCCCTAGGAAAGGGAAGAATACCTATACTGCCTTAATTCCTACATACACACTTCTTGCTTTGTTTCCAACTAACTGATCAGGCAGGTATTAGGCATTG